CCCTCACTCCTCTCACTTCCCTCTCCTCTCCCTCTTACTCCCCTCTCACTCTCCCCCCTCACTCTCCCTCTCCTCTCCCTCTCACTCTCCCCTCTCCCCCCTCACTCTCCTCTCACTCTCCCCTCACTTCCCCTCGCCCAGTGTAAACACCAGGCCGCCTCCTTAGTCTGTCTGTATCGAACGTTGATGGTCCTCATTTAGTGGGAAGAGGTGAGGGAGGAAGAGTGAGAAGGGAAGGAGAGGAGTAATAGGGGTGAGAGGAGATGGGGAGAGTTGAGGTGAGCAGGAGAGAAAGAGAGGAAGGGAACACAAACACTCAAAGCCCTTCACAGACACACACACACACAAAGCCCATGTATACACACACACACACACACACACACACACACACACACACACACACACACACACACAGTTTATATACTCATTTCATTTGGCTGATTAAATCGACGCCATTGATGACATAAAACAAGCTATTAGATATACTGTATACTTATACATATATATATATATATATATATATATATATATATATATATATATATATATATATATATATATATATATATATATATATATATATGTTGTCTTCAGATATGTATGTATGTATGTATGTATGTATGTATGTAATGGTCAGCATGCTCGCCTCATAAGCAGGTGGACCCAGGTTCGATCCCCTGGCTGGGTGAAACAATGGGCAAGTTCTTTACACCATTTGTCTCTGTCTACCCAGCAGTAATTGGGGACCTGGATGTTGAATTTGCGGATCGTGTTCCGGGGTAATGGTTAGCCAGTGCAGTTGTATGTCCGGTCTTCTCGGACTATTCCTTGACACTGGGTCATGCAATTCGTTAACTTAGGATGTGGTTGTTGTGTTGGCGACAGCTTCTACACCTTAAACAAATTCACGCCTAGGTGGCCCTTGGACCGTCCATCCTCGATTTCGAGGCGGCAACCATTACTAAATTATTATGTATGTTTGTTTGTACTACTAGTTTGTGATGGTTTATTTGAAGATTTTTTAATTTCATCGTCTAATATGGAAGAGAGATTAATTATTTTAACCTCCAAGCAAATTCTGTAAAGAGACAAAGACTAGTACCTTAAGAGGAGGAGGTGGGTGGAGGAGGAGGAGGAGAGGAGGAGGAGGAGGAGGAGGACAGTGGGGGAGGAAGAGAGGAGGAGGATGAGAATGGAGGAGAGAGGCTCCATCAGCCCTCCATCTACCCTCCATCAACCCTCCATCAACCCTCCATCAACCCTCCACCAACCTCCATCTACCCTCCATCTACCCTCATCTACCCTCCATCAACCTCCATCTACCCTCCATCAACCCTCCATCTACCCTCCATCTACCCTCCATCTACCCTCCATCTACCCTCTATCAACCTCCATCCTACCCTCCATCAACCCTCCATCTACCCTTCATCTACCTCCATCTACCCCTCCATCTACCCTCCATCAACCATCCATGTACCTCCATCAACCCTCCACTCTACCCTCCATCTACCCTCCATCTACCCTCCATCAACCTCTCTCTACCCTCCATCTACCCTCCATCAACCTCCATCTACCTCCATCAACCCTCCATCTACCCTCCATCAACCCTCCATCTACCCTCCATCTACCTACATCTACCCTCCATCTACCTCAACCCCTCCATCTACCCTCCATCTACCTCCATCTACCCTCCATCTACCCTCATCTACCTTCATCTACCCTCCATCTACCCTCCATCAACCCTCCATCTACCCTCTCCATCTACCCTCCATCTACCCTCCATCAACCTCCATCTACCCTCCATCAACCCTCCATCAACCCTCCATCTACCCTCTCCATCTACCCTCCATCTACCCTCCATCTACCCTCATCTACCCTCCATCTACCTCCATCTACCCTCCATCTACCCTCCATCAACCCTCCATCTCCTCCATCTACCCTCCATCTACCCTCCATCAACCCTCCATCTACCCTCCATCAACCCTCCATCTACCCTCCATCAACCCTCCATCTACCCTCCATCTACCCCACATCTACCCTCCGTCTACCCTCAACCCTCCATCTACCCTCCATCACCCTCCATCTACCCTCCATCAACCCTCCATCTACCCTCTCCATCTACCCCTCCATCTACCCTCCATCAACCCCTCATCTACCCTCCATCAACCCTCCATCAACCCTCCATCTACCTCTCCATCTACCCCTCCATCTACCCTCCATCAACCATCCATGTACCCTCCATCAACCTCCATCTACCCTCCATCTACCCTCCATCTACCCTCCATCAACCCTCATCTACCCTCCATCTACCCTCCATCAACCCTCCATCTACCCTCCATCAACCCCTCCATCTACCCTCCATCAACCCCTCATCTACCCTCCATCTACCCTACATCTACCTCCGTCTACCCTCCAACCCTCCATCTACCCTCCATCTACCTCCATCTACCCTCCATCAACCCTCCATCTACCCTTCATCTACCCTCCAACCCTCCATCTACCCTCCATCTACCCTCCATCAACCCTCCATCTACCCTCCATCTACCCTCATCTACCTCCATCTACCCTCCATCAACCCTCCATCTACCCTCCATCTACCCTCCAACCCTCCATCTACCCTCCATCTACCCTCCATCAACCCTCCATCTACCCTCCATCTACCCTCCATCTACCCTCCATCTACCCTTCATCTACCCTCACGCCTCCTTCATTACAAATGCATGAAAGAGAAACTTTTCCCTACGTGAGATAATTCGTCTCTCACCTCTCTCTCATCAGTTACTCTGTTGCAATGACTTTTTCTTGCAACCAAATATGTGGTCATCAGGATATTGCAATGAAATGTGTCAGCGTGTGTGAAAATGTTTAAGGAAATACTGTGTGAGACATTACAGGTTGACATTATTATTCTTGCAATGTATTATGAGGCTATGTTTTGCAATTAAATATTCAGTCATTCTTGCCATATATTTGCAAGGAAATACTTAGACAATCTTGTAATAAAATGCCTAGTTATAGATTTGCAACGAATTATCTTGCCATATTCTTGCAACGAGATTTATAACCATATACTTGCAACGAAATATTTAGTCATAGTCTTGCAAGAAAATTTATCGCCATAATGTTGCAACCAAATCTGTCCATTAGTATTCCCTGCAACAACATATTCTCCTTTCTTGCAACATTATCTTATTCTGCAACAATATTCATGTCTTGCAACGTTACATCCATCTCTGGAAACACTATTTCCATCTCTGCAACAATAACAATCTCTTGCAAGAAACTATTACTATATATGCAACATTAATCATCTCTGGCAACACACTATTACCACCTCTGCAACAATAACCATCTCTCTTCAACAATCTATTTTCATCTGAGTAGAAAAACAAATTAATTCTTATCAACATTGCAATATCTGATGCAATAACACCCTATATTAGACTCTTATCTGCTGAAATCTCTCTCTCTCTCTCTCTCTCTCTCTCTCTCTCTCTCTCTCTCTCTCTCTCTCTCTCTCTCTCTCATTTCATTTCCTTTCATCCTCGTTCTCTTTCCTTATTCCTCTCATTCTATCTATCTTACTTTCGTTATCTCTCTCTCTCTCTCTCTCTCTCTCTCTCTCTCTCTCTCTCTCTCTCTCTCTCTCTCTCTCTCACACACAGGGGCAGTAATCGACAGGACCGTCAATAAGTAATCGTCTCTCTTAATGGCCCCTCATTCACTTATCAACATCAGGAAGCGATAGTTTGTTGGGCCCCTGGTTTGTTGGGCCCCTGGTCTGTTGGGCCCCTGGTCTGTTGGGCTCTTAGTTTGTTGGGCCCCTGGTCTGTTGGGCCCCTGGTCTGTTGGGCCCCTGGTCTGTTGGGCCCCTGGTCTGTTGGGCCCCTGGTCTGTGGGCCCCTGGTCTGTCCCCCAGGGCCCCTGGTTTAATGGGTGTCACTGCTAATGAGTCTCAGTTCTAAAGGGTAATGGTTCTTTTTCTCTCTCTCTCTCTCTCTCCCTCACCTCCTCTCCCCTCACCCCTCCTCTACCCTCACCCTCCCTGCTTCCCCTCACCCCCCTCCTTACCCTCACCCCCCTCCTTCCTCTCACCCCCCCCTCCTCTACCTCACCCATCTCTCCCTCCCCCCTCCACTCTCCCCTCCCCACCCCTCCTCTCCCCCCCCTCCCCACTATCTACCTGAGAGAAACGGACGTCTCTTAATTATCGCTCTATCGTCATGCAGTAATATGTGGTGATAACGGCCACTTATCTCAGCCACACCACTAACCACCACCACTACCACTACTGTCCTCCCTCCACCACCCTCCTCAAATAATAATAATAATAATAATAATAATTAATAATAATCAACTCCTTCAAGGTATTCGACAAACTATTAACAATTTTCATCACACTATATTAACCAACCCTGTATTACCTTCCCTCCCTCTGTTCCCTCCCTTCTCTCCTACCCCTTCCACCTCCCCCCCCTCCCTTCCCTCTTTTCTCTTCCCCTTAGCTCCCCTTCTCTTTCCTTACTCTCCTCCCACCTTCCTCCCAGCCATCCCCTCCTCCCCCTTTCCTCCATTCTCGCTATCTCTTTCCCCTTCTTCCCTCCCCTTTCCCCTTCCTCCCATCCCCTTCCTTCCTCCCTACCCTCTACCCCATCACTCTCTCCCTACAATTAAAGGTGTCATTAGTGCAAATCACTTACCAATTACTGTAGCACGACTCAAATTGGCCATTAAACACCAATTACACTTATCTTCATTAAGGAGAATTACAAATGGCGGCGATAAATATTCGTGACTCTACCCTATCACATTGTTTATACACTATCATCTACACTATACCCAATACACTATCATTCCACTACACTATCATCCACACAAACCCTAAATTTCTAACTTAAAAATAAACAAAAACATTCAAATTTAATCTTTTTAAAGACTAAAAACAAAATACTTTGAAATTTCTGCAAAAAAATAATAAATTTAAATTATTATCAACTTACCTGAGCCAAATTTGACACCTGTCCACGCTTGCTTGATGAAGGAGAGGAGTCGACGGTAGAGGAGCAGGTGTGCGAACCATGCTTCCCGTGGGCGCGTGGTGGTGGTGAGGGGTTGGTCCTGACCTGTATTGGGTGGCGCGTCTGGTGCTCGACCTGGTGCCGCCGCCTCCACTCCTAGAACCGCCCCCTCCGCCGCCCCCCACCACCCCTCCGCCGCCCACCATTCCGTACATTTTGGTTAGATGGTGTGTGTTGTGTGGGGGGGGTTAGGTGATTGTAGTGATGGTCAGGTTGTGGTTATGATTGTTTTGATTGTGGTAGTGGTGGTTATGGTGACGATGGTGGTAATAGTGGTAGATATGGAAAGTGTTAGAAGTAGCTATAAGTGGTGGTAGTGATGATGGTTGTGGTTGTGGTCTGACGATAGTGGTAGTGGTGGTAGTGTGAGACGAATGGTAGTAGTAGTAGAGGGTGGTGGTAGGATGACGTCACAATCGAGCTAGTAGTTGTAGTAATTGTGGTAGTAGTTGTGGTAATACTGGTAGTTCATGATGATATCTTACCGGCGGAGAAGGTGGTAGTTATGGTAGTCAAGAACCAGTCACCATAACTAACACTCACACACACAACAACAATAATAATATAAAAAATCACAAAATATCGTCTGTTATTCTTTTAAATTCGTCCAAAAAAATTTCATTCACTAATTTTCAACATAAAATTTTTTTCACACAAACAAAAAAAGTACAGTTATTTTCTCACCAATTCACTCATTGTTTTTGTTGTTTTTTTATTTGTCTCTTGTTGATTAATTGTTTCATTGTTATTCATTTTGTTTCATCATAGATTAAATATATATTTTTTTCTTTTATCATTCACATTATTGTCACTTGATATGGATGTTTGCTTCTCTATATATCGCTCACATCTTCACTACTCTCTCTGGTGTATCTGAAAACAAGAGAAAAATATTTATTAGACACAGATAATGAACGAAATGTTATGGGAATGAGAAATATTTTTAATAATACTTTCAAAATTTTTACATCAAAGAAGTTTTTTTTTTCGAAATTATTGATACACTCTTCCTCTCTCCTCCTCCTCCCTTCCCTTCCCTCTCCCCACTTCCTTCCCCTCTCCCCCACCCTTTCCTTCCCACTCTCCCCTTCCCTTCCCTTTCCCACTCTCCCTTCCCGACTCTCCCTTCTCCTTATCTCATCCCCAAATCCCTAACCTCCCTTACCACCACTTCCCTAACCCCCATCTATCCATCTATCTATCTATCTATCTATCTATCAGACCAGAAAAAACCCAAAGATGACCCGATTTTCACCTTTATTGGCCAAAGGAATCTCTTACCATACCAATTACTAGAACCACTCGATATACCGCAACACTCAATTACCATATCGGGACTCATGCAAATTAAGCCTCATCTAATTTTTGCCTTCCAATTTTACGTTAGACATAAAATCGGGAAAGGAAATCAGAGGAGAAAATCAGGTTTTGATGTGATGTGAATCTGAATTAACAGCCACTCAGTCGTATGTAAATTAAGTTACTTGAGGATATATAATTTTTTTTTTCTTCATCGTCGACGGTCGTGGGATTGACGTTATGTGGAGGGAGTTACTCTCTCTCTCTCTCTCTCTCTCTCTCTCTCTCTCTCTCTGTTACACACACACACACACACACACACACACGAGACACAACTCAGACACTTCCATAACATTTTTTCTTTAATTTGAATGTAAATAAAAATGTCAACACAACATACATAAATAGCAAATAATAGAACACATAAATAGCAACTAATAGAACATATATATATAACTAATAGGATAATAGGGATGATTTAAAGTATTACTCACAATAAAGGTTTTAGTTGGGGGATTATATCAATGTGATTTAATAGTAACAATTTCCATATTACTTCCGTGTGTGTGTGTGTGTGTGTGTGTGTGTGTGTGTGTGTGTGTGTGTGTGTGTGTGTGATGTAGATGAGCAGATGAATATACAGAGGCATTTAGAACACAGACAGACAATAAAGATAGATAGATAGATAGGTTAACGTAACACAAGAATGCCATATTCCTTGGTCTCTGGGAGTGGTAACATCTCTCTCTCTCTCTCTCTCTCTCTCTCTCTCTCTCTCTCTCTCTCTCTCTCTCTGTACCTTACTTTCCCTTCCCCTTTCCCTCCCACTCCTCCTATTCTTCTCTTCTTCTTCCTTTCTTTTCCTCTCACTCACTCACCTTTCTTTCTCCTCTCTTTGTTCAATAACTCTCTATATCTCTCCCTCTCATTCACTCTCCTTCCCTCTTCCCTCTCATTTATTCTCCTCTCCTTCACTCTCCCTTCCCTCTCATACACTCATCAACATCTTATCCACTTCACTTGCTCTTTTTCATACCAGAATATTGTAAGATAAAGGAGAGAGAGAGAGAGAGAGACCCACATTATCGGGTCGTCCTCTGGGAGTAAAGTGGTTGGTCCTGATCTTAACAACTTTGACCTCTAATGATTGTCAGGTGGCTCATGGTAGGTAGTTATCTGTCTGTCTGTCTGTCTCTCTCTGTCTGTCTGTCTCTCTTTTTGTCTGTTTGCGTCTATATCTGTCTGTCTGTTTGTCCCTAAATCTGTCTGTTATAAAATAGCAACACAATAAAATAGCAGATAATAGCAATAAAATAGCAATTAATAGCCATAATGGTATCAGAGAGAGCGAGGTCAACTGCGTCCAATCAGCTTAATGGAAAGACCTGATAGTGACCATTATTTTGACCACTCTTGACCTGTCTGCTTATCTCTTCCTCTTCTTCTTCTTCTTCTTCTTCTTCTTCTTCTTCTTCTTCTTCTTCTTATTGTTATTGTTATTCTTATTCTTATTCTTATTATTATTCTTTCTTCTTTTCCTTTTCTTTCTTCTTCTCCTTCTCCTTATTATTCTTCTTCTTCTTATTATTATTATTCTCTCCACACCTAACTCCCTTCCCATGTTCCACTGTACACCAAAAAGAAAAGAAAGTAAAACGAGAAAATAGATAAAGAGAGAGATACAGAGAGTGAAGAGAGGAAGAGATAAACATATCTCACTTCTCCCATGTGAATCACTTTTTTCTCCTCCCCCTGTTCCTCTTTCCTCACCCCTCCCCCCTAGTTCCTACTTCTTTCCCTCACCCCTCCTCCCTAGTTCCTACTTCTTTCCCTCACCCCTCCTCCCTAGTTCCTACTTCTTTCCCTCACCCCTCCTCCCTAGTTCCTACTTCTTTCCCTCACCCATTTCCCCTCTTTCTCATCCACCTTTTTCCTCCCCTTCTTCTCCCCTTTTATCCTCCCTCTCCTCCTACCCCCCCTCTCCCCTCTCCTACCCCCCTCTCCCCTCTCCTACCTCCCTCTCCAAGAATTCAACTCATGTTTCCTGTCTCTCCCTTGTTATCGTTGCTCCTCGCTCGATTACACTCCTGAGTATTGCTGTGTCTTGAGCCAGAGTGACAGAAACAGATATATTGGTATTAACCGTTTACAATAGCTCTGTGTGTGTGTGTGTGTGTGTGTGTGTGTGTGTGTGTGTGTATGTGTGTGTGTGTGTGATGTCTTTGAGGATGTCGTCATGTTTGAAATAAAAGCTTTTGAGGATGAACTGAACCTTTAAAGAAACTCCTACGGAAATATATCAAAACCCGTGTTGCATAAATCCGTGTTGCATAAATCCGTGTTGCATAAATCCGTTTTGCATAAATCCGCGTTGCATAAATCCGTGTTGCATAAATCCGCGTTGCATAAATCCGTGTTGCATAAATCCGCGTTGCATAAATCCGTTTTGCATAAATCCGCGTTGCATAAATCCGTTTTGCATAAATTCGTGATCGATCTTCCTTGATTTCCTCCACTCGATTCCTTTATTAAGTTTCCTCTTCTTTTCCATTATTCTCTTGTACTTTACCTCTTTTTCATCTCCCTCTGTCTCCATTATTTCCTCTACTACCTTTCTCCCTCCCTCTCTTTCTCTCTTTCTCTCTTATTCTCTTATTTCTTCTTCAGCCTCTCTCTCTCTCTCTCTCACTTTGTGTCAGGGTCAAACGGTAGTTGCACTCTCACGATAAGAAAGACCTTTTACGGTAGTTTCCGGCGGGGCTGTGTTGAGGCCGTCTTTGAGAGAGAGAGAGAGAGAGAGAGAGAGAGAGAGAGAGAGGTTGTAAAGAAAATGAGACAGGGGGGAAATAGAAGGGAGAGGAAGGAGAGAGAATGATGCATTGGAATAGTGAAGAAAGAGAGAATGAGACGAGAAAGAGAGAGAGAGAGGAAGAAGAAGGACAGACAGACAGACAGACAGATTCTATATATGGTATTCTTATAACCAAACTATTTATGTATAGCCAAAGTATAATATAATTTTAGGAAGGTGTATATACATTATATAACCATAGCCATAATACCGTATATATATTTCATAGGTAAAGTATGACGGAAAGATTTTGTTATGGGTTATATTTTGGGGTTACATTTGGTCCTGAGCCGTGATGTGTGTGCGTGTTGTGTCTCAATAATTAATAAACGGGATACCTAGTCTAACCTAGCCTAACCTAGCGTAGCCGAACGTAACCTAGCCTAGCCTTGCCTAGCCTAGCGTAACCAGTTAGTCAGTCACATCACTTGGGGGAAGAACAAGGTAAATGCATTCATCAATATGCAAATCAGCTATTAATAAGATGAATAATTAGTGTGTGTGTGTGTGTGTGTGTGTGAGTGAGTGTGTATGTATGTATGTATGTATGTATGTATGTATGTATGTATGTATGTGAACGGCATCAGTGTTACCACCACCCAAAAAAATCACAACACAAGATATTGAATTTTCTAAGACTATGCAGTGTTACCAGAATAAGATCAACACTGGCTCCTCTAAACCCCTGCAGTGTTACCAGAACCCATCACCTCCTCCCCCTCAACACCTTATTTTCGATGGACACCCCACAGGTAAATATCGAACCCACGTCCTCACATCTCACCTCTACTGCATATTGGCCCATCAGCAGGTGTAGGTAGGTGGGGGGAGGGGTCGGGGGCTGGGGGGGTGGGGAGGGGCTAGGGGAGGGGTGGGGGCTGGGGGGAGGGGGAGGGGCTAGGGGAGGGTGGGGGCTGGGAGCTAGGGGAGGGGTTAGCTGGGGGAGGGGGAGGTCAGGGGAGGTGGGGGCTGGGGGGACGGGTGGGGGCTAGGGGAAGGGGAGGGATGGGGGGTAGGATATTTTGTGGTCTACCTTCTTCTTTATCACATTTTCTTTCTTATTCCCATCTTCCATTTTCTGTTCTTGGTGTTATCGCTTTCTCTTCCTGTTTTTTCTTTCGTTTTCTTTGTATTTTTTCTCTCTTCTCTTCTTTATTCTTCTATCTATCTTCTTTTATGGCGAATATTTTTTACCCTTCCCTCTCTTCCCCTCTTTATTACCTCTATCTATCTGTATTCCCCTTGGTTTATCTCTCTCTCTCTCTCTCTCTCTTTCTCTCTCTGACACAGTATTATTCTGCCGGCATTCCCTCTCTCCTTTCTTCCCCATCCTTCCACCACTCTCCCCACTCTCCACCACTCCCACTCCTCCCCACTCTCTCTCCACTCCTCCCACTCCCCCAGACGCTCACTCTCCACCATAAAGGTTTAAGTCTCTCTAATAACTCCGAGTTTGTGGTCATATTTCCGGGTTAAGTTAATCCCTCGTGTCTTAGGGTGTCATCCGGGTTGACTTTCAGGGTTATGTTCCGGTGTGTTTTGTCTGGGTTGTGTTGTGGAGTGTGTGTGTGTGTGTGTGTGTGTGTGTGTGTGTGTGTGACTCTCTCTCTCTCTCTCTCTCATTCTTGGTCATTTTACTCGAGGCGCCCAATCAGCTGATCACAGTGTAAACAATGGCTGGGTGTTAGGCTCACTTAGGGGCCCCTTCTCTGGTGTACA